ACTCCTTCCTCAATTATTCTTGGTAAAACCTGGCATTGCACGAGTCCAAAGTAAAAATCCCTATTTTTAAATTTGGTCCCACTTGTAGAAAATGTAATTTGAGTTTCTAGTTTTGCATAAATTAAGCAGCTAATTATGCTCTCTCCTTAGCTTCAGGGATTAAAATATCAACACTGTGGTGTATAGTATTATCCACTCTTATAATTAAGGTATTTTTGGACATTTAATCCTTGCTTAGGCTCAATTAAGGGAGTTCAGATCTGCTCCTCACAGAGAGTGCCCCTTACTGACCTCACAACAATGTTCTCAATACACGACTAAAACATGTTTGATTGACGCCATAGACCAGAAACGTAGCAGACATTGCCCACTCTACCAAGCCCCTTTTCAAAAGTCCATCTGCTTGTGTTTGCTACAGATACGTATTTCTTTTGGGTTTCTCTATTGTTTAGATGACCATTGTTGATGTGATCTGTTCTATAGGGTTAGACCCAATTAGCCTGATTAATAATTGGTTCGATACCGGTTGTGATAATCCCAATAGGGTCTGGCTTGGTTTTGGGTTTGTATGCTTTTGGAGTCCAAATCTACTACACTTGTCTTGATGGACACCCACGTGTACTATTTATATGGTCACACGCTATCAGCTTATTGGAATCCAGATTCAACTATGAGACTTTATTGAAACCTGGAATTTGCTCAAAAACTGTTCCAATCGGGTAGTTAAATCATTGATTCATTTGATCTAGATGATAGATAAGGGTGAGCAAGAAAAACCAAAAAATCGAATCAATCAAAACCGAATAAAAAACTTGGTTAAGCAAACTGATCGGTTCAGTATTTTAAAAAAACCAAATGTATCAATTAACCAAAATAGAAAACTGGTGGTTAATCGAACCGACCGATATACATTTTTGTCTTCCCATTAATTACAACATCAGCATTGATGGACAACGGCCTGATCTTGTTTGAGGTCCTCCTTTGAGTTGGGAGCAATAGAAAAATAAGGAATCACGCATGCCAGAGAAACACAATAGGAAAACCTCTCTTTTTCTTCGAAGAAACAGAGCAGAAAAACCTAATTCAACAAGTATGTTTAGCAAAAGAAGAAAGGAACGTTTCCACATTCAAATCTCTTGGCCTGAGGGGCCATTCTTGCAGGAAAATTAGTTCTGAAAAACATAGGTTTCAAGGCACCAAGGTGAGGCTAGGTGAAAGGGGGCGCCTTATCGCCTAATAGACGTCGCTTAGGCAATGAATTTTTTTTTTTTTTTTTTGTAAAAATCATAGATCCTAGGATAGTTCCCTAGGGTAGAAATCATTAGAGGTGTACATCAAATTGTGCTGCATGCGGCCCGGCCCGGCCCATATATATATTATATATATATTTATATAATATTATATAAATTATAATTATATAATAATATATAGTATATAATATATTAATAAAATAAATATATTTTTTAATTTTAATATACTAATTTATTTAATTATTGTATATATAAGCAATTATATACACAACATTCATATAAAATTAAAAATTTAAGTTTTTTATAATTTTTTTAAATAAATAGCTTTGCCCCAATGCACGGCCCGACCAGGCCCAAGGCCCGGCCCATGAGCCAGCCCGGCCCGCGGCACGCACAACACAGGCCCGCACAAGCCTGGGCCGTGGGCTGTGCTGGGCCAACCCTCAAAATTTTCACTGGGGAAGGTGGCATGGCCCGTAACAGCCCGCACTTTGCACGGGCTGACCACGGGCTGTGTTGTGCCTGCCCGGCATGGCCCACTTTACACCTCTAGAGATCATAGATCTTAGGGTAAAAGAAGGAAAAGAGAATTCAAAAAATATAGGGGCTGAACCCTTATTTTTCTTATAGGAAAAGAAGAAAAGAAAAAGTAGTAATAATAGTAGAAAATGTGTTGATTAGACAAAATTTTAAGTTCCTCCTTATTGGTTTAGGTTTTAAAGGCTTCGAGGGTTCAATACAGCATTTAGTAATGTTTGTATTGATTAAAAACAAATAAAAAAAAATAGTATATAAACATACAAAATGAATATTTTAGTTTAATAGTACCTATTTTATAATTATAATGTCAAAAAATAAAGAGTAAAAAAGCATTTTATAATACATAGTACAAAATTGCTTGGTGATTAGGCGAGACAAGCCTCAAAGGGCACCTTGTCGCCTACGTGTCGCCTTGACAACTATGGTGAAAAATAGTATACTGAAGGTTAAAAGGCAAATTCTGGTCCAATGTTTCTCTTGTTTTCATGGTTCAATGTTCTATTGTGGCTTTAGTTTATGCACAGATAAGGTTGTTTCACGAGGATTTTGTTTGGACTTCTAAACAGACAATCTAGCCACATAGCAGAGATTATCCAAAGGAAGAAAATTTTCAAGAATTTGGTATGGCTCAGGAGCGAGAGCTCTTGGGCCAGAGGAGCAAATTTTAGCACCTTCAATATCTCACCAATATTATACCACTACCCTCTGTAAAAAGACTGGTCATTGTCTATCAAAATCTCGACAATTGGTATTCTTTTTTCATTTAGGCTGTGTTTGGCTTGAAAGGAAAGGTACGGAAATATATTCTTTGATGACTAAACTTGTTTAACGATGTATTTTCAAGGAATACATAAATGCAAATTAACATTCAGTCCATATCCTGAGAAATCGTTTTGTATGTTTACCTCCCAATTTTAATTGAGCACTGAACGCTCACCAAGATTCTTGACCCCATTTTCTGTTTCAGATGGTGCAATACGCTTGTAGACTGCCTGAAATGTCTGCCCACCATTCCTAGCAACCTTCTGCCCTTCCTCGGTAGCACTACTTAGAAGCTTCACAACAGGGTCAGTTTGGAGCTCTTCTTCTGTGATTGCTTCAAAGAGAGGGTGACCTTCCAAACAAGCCTTCATCCATTCTCCAAGCTCTTCCACATCAGTAATTGTATATATGATTCCACCCACTTGGAGCACGTAAGCATACTCATCAAGCAAGTGTGGGCTGATCACCCGCCGACGATGGTTTTTCTCCTTGAAGTGAGGATCAGGGAATAGAAAAAACATTTTTGAAAGTTGTCCTTTCTCAAAGAAGTTGGGTATATATTTCATTGAATTAGTCCGGACCACTGAGATGTTCTGGTACTTTCCTGGGTTAGCTGCCCTCAAGGCCACAATCCGTTCTTTGACATATTCAGTCACTTTGTCCCTAAGCTCCATACCGATCATTAATGTTTCAGGGAAGAGTGTTGCAAGACTGACAAGTAAACCACCAAAGCCACAACCAATGTCAGCAAACTGGATCTTTTTCACCTCAAGACTACTGGTTGTATCACCATTGTAATTATTGATCTGACCCGATGGGAAAAATTCTGGATAATGTTCAGAGTAATCAACATTATAAGGCGTAATCGGTACAGGGAAGTGGGAGTCACTTAGTGGATTGCTGTGTGCTCGTGCTCGGTAGAAGCGCTTCCGTGGCAGACCAGTTGACTTGTTGTGCTTCAAATTTGCTTTGCTATCATAAGACATCATCCCTTCTATACAAGTATCTTAATTACAATAGATCGGGTCTCTAATGTGCAAACCAAGCAAAGTTTTCGATTAGGCGCACTTCTGCTGCAATAGTGATGTAATATATCTCCTAGAAAATCAGAACAGAACAGGAATAGCTTATAAAGCAGAAATAAGAGATACTACAAATTCATGGGGCATCAAGTGTAACATGACAAACAATGTTGTAATGATTCAAAAGAAAAACACATTACAGGTAAGAAATAAGAATAGAGAGAAATTTGATCTTAAACTTGAACCAAAACACCCAGACAAGCTCTAGACATCGGTTTTCTATGGTCTCTGTCCTATCTCCTTAAAGGCTTGAACTAAAATACCAATCTCTGAACGTTGCAACACAGTCACCGTAACACCAACCAAACTCTAGTAATACCATTAATTTGGCAATTCCAGTCCAGTGGCTGGTCAGAGATATGGCAATTCCAGTCCAGTGGGAAAGGCATTCAGCTAATGGGATGGTCATAGCCTTACCCATGCAGATATGCAGAGGCTGTTTCCAAGATTTGAGCCCGGATTACCCAAGTCCCAAATGGAACAACCCAACCCAACCTGCATTTAAATACATACATCAAACCTTAGCTGCTTCTCACTTCTAATCTAAGTAGAAAAGGAATGAAAGATCTAGTGTTTATTTAATGTTAATGTAACTCTACTTAGGGTTTCCAGAAAGGACATCAAGGACATTTAGAGCTTTTCCCTGGTGTACCAAGCCAAAGAAATATCTAAGTGGGACATTCTAGAGCAAAACTTGCAAGAGAATTTTAAGACAAAATTGAAAAATATTATAGTGCCATTTTCTGAGAAGAAGGCACTCATTTTCTATGCTGAGTTATTGAAGAAGGCAACCTATTTGGCAAAAATTGTTTTTCATGCTAGGTAGATAAGGCTATTGAGATGGTCAATCTGCTGGAGTATGAAACCAATGAAATCCACATTGTAACTTTGTCCTGTCATAATTGAAATGAAGAGATGCTGAAGTTGGTCATGATGACCATTTACCTTGTAAGCAAGTTTTACAAATTCTTACATCTAGCGACATGGAAAAGAAAAATGGTCCAAATTTATGAGATCTACCGGGTAGGACCAATTGAATGTTGTGTTGTCAACACCACACGTGCTTCACATGTGAATCATTTGTTCTGGTTCTCAAAAGAGAGTACCGATTTGCCAATAGTTAATTCAATAATACCACCAACGATAAACCCATGCAACTGCAACTGAGAATGGCACCACAAATCTATCAAAGCGGTTATGGGCCACATGCACTTTATGGGTAGTGTGGAGAAAAATGATTGGTCCCACATCCACAAATTATTGGTCTCATAACAAGCAAATTTAGGTGTCATGTCTATGAAACATTTGGTCTTTCTGTGTAACAGATAAAATAACTCAAACATGTCTATGAAAGATAACAAGCAAATTTAAATTATCAAAAAAAAAAAAAAGATAACAAGCAAATTTAATGTTCAAATTCTCCACCAGGTTATGAGGAAATTGCCAATGAAATATTTTCCTGCTTAACTGTGAATGAGGTCAATGTTCATCACTGTCTAAGGTTTAATTTTGAATGCATTTCTTAATAAAACTATTTGTAACATGGTATAGTATTTTCTTTGGAATTAATACAGGAATGGTGCCAGCTGGGGATGGTCTTTTCATCTTTCAACTCCTTTTTCCATATTCCATGACTTCCGTCTTATTATAATATTATATTCATAATATCACTTTTTCTATGGGATCATAGGAGCTTACTTTTAGTTTTCCCATAGATCTAATTTTATTTTGGGCTCTTGTGGCAAGCGTGGTTATCGGTATTTGGGTTCTGGATTCATCTCTCTATTAGCATTTTTTTCCTTTTGATTAAAGGATGTGCAAATTAGACAAAGAATGTTTACAATTTCAACCGTGGTGGTTCCTTTTGATAGAAGTGGAGGTGTGAACCTCAAGGCATTCTCCTCAAGCCTTGCCTTGATTACAATATCATGATCAACATCAAACTAGGTCTAGCCAAGGTTTAAAGTATTGATACGATACGCATATCGGCCGTATCGTATTGGTACTTAGAAACGGACGAAACACCTTTTTTTATTTTTTTTCAAATTTTGGTTTTTTGGGAATCTTAAAACATGTCTTTTATTATTAAAAAAAGTTGGGGGTCCAAAACACCTGGAAACAAGAAACAGGCGTTTCGGACCGTATCTTTTTCAAAAGATACAATACGATACACCCCGTATGGGGCGTATCGTATCGATACTTTAAACCATGGGTCTAGCCTGATCATTCCTGCTGTTTTTTTTGGGTTTCCTGAACTGAAATCAGTATCTCTGGAAATCTTTGTATCAAATTGTCCATATTGGCCTTCTATGTGCAAATGTATCTAGAGTGACAAGTTTCTTAAACAGTAACTACTTTTCAGATGTTTTACCTCTTTACTTTTTCTTTGTTGAACAGTTGGGAATGGGAAGGGTGTTGGATACTTTATGTGATTAATCCTATGGAGCAAAACAATATATATATGCTTTGCATACATATGCAGAGAGCCATGTTTATTCTTTTAGTTGTTAGCATTCCACTCGCTTTCATCCTGGCCAATACAAGTACCTTTCTTTTGGCTGAGGGGCAAGATCCTGATATATCAGCAGAAGCTAGACTTTATTCTCGCTTTATGATCCCTTGCCTTTTTTGCCTATGGCATTCTTCAATGTGAAATCAGATTCCTGCAAGCCCAAAATACAGTCTTTCCAATGATGATAAGCTCTGGAATTATGACTTTACTTCACATCCTTGTTTGTTGGATGTTGGTTTTCAAATCTAGTCTCAGCAACAAAGGTGCTGCCTTGTCAATTTCCATTTCCTATTGGATGATTGTGTTACAGCTAGCACTTTATATCAAGTTATCTCCTAACTGCAAGAAGACTTGGACTGGTTTCCCAAGGGAATCGCTTCATGGTGTCCTCATTTTTATAAAGCTTGCAATTCCTTCAGCTTTAATGTTTGGTAACAACTTCATTTATCAAAAAAAAAAAAAGTTTGGTAACAACTTCATTTTATCATAGTGCAAAAGTCTTAAATTATTCTCATACTGTGTAAAATTTAACTGTCATGACTTTTAACAGCATGGGGATGTGGTCATTTGAAATAATGGTTCTCTTGTCTGGTCTTCTTCCTAATCCAGAATTAGAAACATCAGTGTTATCAATTTGGTGAGCATCTACTTCATATCTAACCTTTTTCTTCATCTAGATTTTCTTTAACATTTTCTTCCATGTAAGAAACTTGGTATTCAGCACATTCTCATTTCTGTTCTATATGGACAATATCAATAGCTCTTTGCATATTTTAGCATGGTTACAGAATTGTTTGTCTCCTAAATTACAGTTAATTCCTATATGGCACCAATATTAAATCATGTACATATGGAACCATCCCCAGCCTTAACACAGCTTCAATGGTCTGGATGACCCTTTTGGCCTTGGGGGAGCTGTAAGGTAAGTTAAGCAGAATCAAATATTACTCCTTTCCTAATGTTGTCCCTATTTTATTCAAGTACCTTTAGCAATAACAGTCATGGCAATTATCTTTTTTACCTTTACTTATCAGCACGTGAGTTTCAAATGAATTGGGGACTGAGCGTCCTCACGCTATACATTTAGCAGTGCTGATTGTATTGCTTACGGGCATTACAGAGTGTCATGATCTTAATATGTAGAATTAGGGGTTATGCTTATAGCAATAATTACAGATCATTGTCTAAAGACCTACAGTGAATTAGGAGTTCGAAAACAAAAGCAACAAATTCAGGATCTATAAACATTAGGAGTCGGAAAACAGAGCACAATCAATTACCCAAAAAAAGTCAGAACTGAGAAGTCAGTTACCAAGTGATGGATGAATCGTCAATTAGCAGGTGAAATGATGGAGTGATGCCTGAGGAAAAACCTCGCTGTGAACGGATTGTTTGCAGAATTTCAAACAGAGAATGGCGGAGAAACCTCACTGAGAAGTGAGAAGCGGCGGAGAACTTCTGTTGTTTAGAAATCAAAATCCCCAAAACCGCAGAATACGAACCTTCCGGGAGTTCCTCACTGTCAGTGAACTGCGAATGACGGAGAACGGCAGAGAATGGCAGAGTTTCTCACTATCACTGAACTAAGAACGGCGGAGAATGACGGAGTTTCTCATTGTCACTGAACTGCGAACGGCGGAGAATGACGGAGTTTCTCACTGTGACTGAGAATGGTAGAGTTTCTCACTATCACTGAGAATGGTGGAGAAGAAGCCTTCGAAGTTTTGGACTTTCGAACCCTAAACAGATCCTACGATGAAACCTCGACCCAACTAACCCTAAGTCCCTGACATTTTGCTCTTACCGTAATTGGTACCCTTGATCCAACCGAATTTACATCTGCGCCCCACAACTGGGCACCCCACAAGGCCCCAGCACATCTCCACGATGAGACATTATCTTTAGATGTTCTCAATACAAGGTGGAGATGTGCTGTGGGATATTATGGGGCGCAGATGAGAAGTTGATCCAACCCCACCCTGACCTTGAGTCTGGATCACCTACCAATTAAATGTGTTTCAGCACCCTTCCAAATTGATCGGACACCACACACAGCGGATCCCACTTTTTATAATGGGTCCTACTCTCATGATATCATGTGCGGTCAACATTGCCACCCCTAACAAAAAAGTTAAATTTAATGGAAAAGTACGCGACAACCCTAATGCAGATTTTGGAATTCCTGCAAATCTCAAGTCATAAAACTACATTTTATGTACTCATACTTGCCCGTGAATTGACATCACCTATCTCAACTGTACCTTGTGCTTATGAATTCTCACCATGGGTTGAACCGTTATTCTCCCTAAATTTAAACCTCATATATTGATTATGATATGATATCTAAAAAATTTTTGACCAATCAACTAATATCATGAGCATGGTTAGGTGCAAGGTTCAAAGTATCAACATGTATCAGACCGTATTGGCCGATACGTATCATTCTGAGACTCTTCTGATACGCCCCTATAATGGGTGTATCGGAGGTCTGACTAGTTCAGGGGGTAGAGGAGACCTAAACCACCCCCCTGAACCGATTGCAAAAAAAAAAAGGCCTGAAAAATTGTATCGATTTGCCCGATACGCCCATGACATATTAGACATATCGATATTTTAAACCTTGGTCAGGTGTTATTTATCAAAATACATGAATGGATTTTGATCGATCAAAACTCTTCTCATGTTTCTGGCATCATAGATTTTTCCATCTATCTAGTAACATTCATTTCAAGTGGTAAAAAATGCTTTAAGAACTTACAATTAATGATATTTAAAAACTTATAGAATTTATTCATCTCTATGTAACTCTCAGGGTTTTACTAGATAATTAGTGATACTTAATTTTGTTTTTCAAAATTAGATTTTGAGATGACGTATAGGCAATGGTGGTTGGGTTCAATTTAAGTTGTTTTATTTAAGATGTATTTTTTTTGGGAGAATGACGGTTCAACCCAAGGGTCAGAATTTGTAGGCTAAAGTACTGTTGAGGTAGATGTCAGCTCGGAATTGATGCTAATTTACGGGCGGGCATTGGTGTATAGAGTGTGGGTTATTGACATTTTGAATGTTTATAATTCTGCAGTAGAAATAAAAAATCTGCATTAAGCCTGTTCGTACTTCTCCGTTTTATCTAGGTAAATGGCAGACGATCTAGACGAATTAAATCTTTATTATGATTTTAGTGATGACGATGAAGAGGATTGAATATGTTGGATTTGAAGAAGGATAAGATGGAAGGTATGAAGATGGTCATGAAATTGAGGATGTCAATATTGATGTGAATTACATCGATACTGGTGGCTTGTTTGATTATGAGCCAACTTTAGAGTATGAAAGTCTAATTGAGAATAGTGACGAAGATGGTAGGGATTACAATTAACGGGGCAGGTTTGGGGATGGTTTTATAAATTTTAGATTCTACAGATTTTTCTAAACCTCCCATCTCTTACTTGCCTAAAAACTTATAGCATATTAGATTTTGAGAATCCAAACTCTCATCGCATATGAAAATATAAATACCCTCTCCTCCCCGAATTTAAGGATAGGGGTGGATTGGGTTTAGAATTCACATCTAGTTTTCTATTGTTCCTTGTTATATATACGTAATAAATAAGTAAAATAACACAAACAAACAATAAAATTTCCAATTATTCGATTAGGACATGTAAAAAACATATAAACTATCAATTATCCTTCGCATGGAATTCAAAAGATTATTAAATTCAACACTTAATGCTAAAGTTTACATGCTGCCCAATAATATGCAGGTTGGGGAGAGTTGGGTTTGTACCCTATCCGTACCCGTATGGGTTGTAGAATCCCAAAACCCATCCTTTAAGCAAAAAAACTCACCTCATCGGGTAAGGGTGGAAATGAATCAAGCTTTTCACAAGTTAATAGATCTTGGCTCATGAAAAGCTTGATTCTACTTGATTTAAATCGAGCTTCAAGTTGAGCTCAAGCCTACTATATAGGCTCGTCTACTAATCGAGCTGAGCTCGAGTCCAATGAAGTTCGGCTCGTGAGGCTCACAATTCTAATTGAGCCTAATACATACATACGTACACACATATACACATACATATATTTTAATAAATAATTATTATTATATGTATAATATATATATATATATATATATATAGTATTTTTATTTTTTATGTATAATCATAAATAATTTTTATAATTCTTAATTTTTTGTATATGTATATATAATTTTACTTTTATAGGAAGCTTGGCTCATAGTTGAGCTTGAGCTGAGTTGAGTTCGAACATATAAGCTCTTGAGTCGAGCAGCAAATTCAAGTTCAAGTCTCTAGCTCGAATCAAGCGCGAGCTTGAGCTCAAGTCTAAAACTCTTTTGGTGAGCCAAGCTTGAATCCACCCCTACCGTCAAGGTGGGTACCCACTAGATAGAGTAGAAATTTCCATCCCTAAAAGATGGGCATAAGTCTAAGATTTTCTTTGACCCTAATCTGGAAGTTAATATGCTTTTCCCATATATAAAAGAGTTCAAAGATGCATTAAGGGAGCATATAATTTTGAATGCCGTTGAAATTAAATACATAAAGAATGATTAAGGTATTTTAATGCTCTATGTACTTCTGAGGGATGTCTAGAATCCATGCTTCTCCAATTTAAGATGGAGTCAGTAGGAAGTAGGAACACGCATAAAAATAAGGTATTTTAAACTCAATTTTAATCTAGTCATCTTTTCGTCAGAGACCTTCGTTTCTGAGAGAAAGATTATATTAGGGTTATTTCGCACAACACAATTATTGAAATTCAATTCCTTCAAGCACCCCGACAGTTCCAAACAAATAAAGATAAACCAGTTGATGTGTTAGGGGGTATCATGATTATCCTCAAAAGCCTGGTCCTGCTGAAAACCTTGCTCGTCAGGGTGGTATTATAATTAGGGTTGGTTTTTTTTTAGGCCCCCAATATATCCATATGGTGTATATTTTTTTGAGAGAAGCCCGTAGGCAAATTCATTGCTATCAGTACAGGTGCGAGAAAAGAAGATAAAAAGGATTACCTGTACGAGGGGTGAAGGAGAATGTGATAAACAAATGAGCACAAAATGCTCCTGCAGTTGGCCATAAGTGTTGATATACGCCATGAGACCAAAACTGAGGGGTCCAACAGGTAAGAAACCACATTCTGTGCATCTCCTTCTAAGATAATTGCTGAAAGTCCTAGAGAGCAAGTAAGCTTTAGCCCTTCAAGAAACGAAAAGGCTTCAGTAACTTCTGGTGGGCTTTGAAGAATCTCTGATGATAATTCCCACACCAGAGCTGTGGATAAAGGATCCACCATCATCATTAATATTGTAATAACCTATAGGAGGGGGTATCCACCTATTTATAGCTGTAGGAACTAGGAGGTGTCTAACACTATCATCCCTGGTCTCCAATATATTAGGGGAGCTGTAAAATTCCACATGATGGCCTAGGGCAGCTGTAATAACAGAATAGGGGTGGAACTGTTTTCCCTCCATGGTCGCCTAACACCGAGCTTTCCAGGAATGCCAAATAAGAAACATACATCTGTCAAAAATTAAATTACAATGGAGGTATTTGGTACGATGCCATTGCCTAGGCAACGATTTTTCTTGGGTTTCAGGAGAATAGTGAACTCTGCACAAAATTCTAAAAGCAAAATCTTATTTGTGTTTATTCTTGTTTTAAGACATAGGCCCCAATAGGCACCATGTAAGTAAAAATGCTTCTCCCCACAAGAAACACCAAAAAAGACGTTTCTGGCTCTCACAAAAATCAAGACAAAGTTGACAGCGTTTTTCTAAAAAACAGTAATAAAACATCAACCAAATAAGAAACAGTTTCTCAATTATAAAAAAAAGCTTACATGGCTCTGAACTGGCAACGTTTTTCCAAAAACAGAAATGGTACCAAACACCACCTATTTTTATTAATAATGAGTCAAAGAATGAGATACATGATACAACATGCCCAGCATCCCTTTTACAAGTAAGCTTTACAAACTCACAATCCCTACCCCATACACCCTTTACTCAATTCTACATGCATAGGTTGCAAAACTGTTCCCTATTCACTCCTTGGCATGTGCATCGGCCAAGATATTTGCAGATCTATTAGTCCAATCAAAAGGATATTTAATCTCCTTAATCTGCCTATAGCACCAAGCCACCAATGCCCTTGTTCTTGGTTTTTCAACCAACCCAGCACCACCTTAGCGTCTCCTTTCACCTCCAAGTTGTTGAAGTTCAAAGATTTAGCTATTCTTAGGCCTTGCAGTGCTGCCATGAGTTCTGTCCTGAATGAATTTCCCATCCCCATTGGCCCAGAAATATGTTCCCAAGTTTATTTCTAAAGACTGCCCCAATACCTGACGGTCCAAGGTTGCCCAAACTGCATCCATCAAATGTGGTTTGAAGAAGTTGGCTAGGTGGCTTCCAACGCAATGACAATTCTGTTCTAATACAAGATGAAGATGCCACCAGCCGCCATCCTCTAACGATATCATTACTGAAAAGGGGCCGAAAATATCCATGGCAAGAAAGTAAATAAAGGAGGATAAAATCATTAAATAAAATGAACTGCAAAGACTGATTCTGTTCCTTAACAATTTTGTTAGAACTAACTACAATCAAATCGTGCTTATCATTTACAGATTTACAGAAAAAAAACAGGACTAAACACTAGAAGAATAAAACAAAAACAGGTAAATGGAGAAAAAAGTAGAAAAACAAATCAGCTATAATGGGTAAAAGGACTTCCAAATATGAATCAATCAAATGCCAAATAGAATAAGACAAAAGAAACAAAAGCCCTATAAACTACATTCATCCCTCTTTGGTACCATGCTTCATGCACATATTGGAGAAAAAAATAAAGATAATCATCAAATATTTATAGGTTTACTGAATGCAGGTAGAAAAGACACATATTTTTGTCCTCTCCTTTTTATTTCTGCTCTGCCAGGGTGACAACACAGAGAAAGTAAGTATGATAGATGAATCAAGGTAAGAGTCAGTAAGTATATACAATGACATCTTCAGAAGACAGATACAAACTAAAAGCCATATGATCAACTAACCAAGCCAATGCACACATCAAAGCATACTCAGAAAATAGTCTTTCCAGTGTAAAACTCTAGAGAATGCAAGCACTGTCATGTCATACTAGCTATGAAGTATGCACAGAGAAAGAGGTATGACAAATCTCTGTTTGTCACTCAACTATCTTGAACCTTCAGCTTTAATTCCCATTTTTAACATAATTCCAGGGTTCAATTGAGACTAAGAAGATAGAACTCATTCAGGTATATAAATCTTGATATACAAAAAATAATCAACTTTCCATGAAAAAAAGATCATTCAGAGAATCAGAGCACAGAAGCATTAAAAATATTAGAGTCCCATGTCTTTCTTTTGTTCTTTCTCCATCTGTGATTGGCTTAGCAAAAACTTAATTTATCTGTGAAAAAGTATCATAAATGTTCAATATGAAAGGTTATAGCTGGTGGATGCACAAACTTCAATAAGAAAGCCTTTGTATGCACAAAACATCCTTATCATGAGAGAAAAGTTTGCTAAAAGTATGAAGTTGTCAAAATGTCATCAGTGACACATTTTGACATACATTAAAAAGAACAGTAACTTTTCACAAAATTGGTGAACTTTCAATGATCAAGGAATATTTGATGCAAGCTAGGAGGTGAAAAAAGGAAGCTCTAAGGTTTGGAGCTTCCAGGGGAAAATTAGGTTTCAAATGTGAGTCCCATTAACCTAGACAAGCTCTAGACATTGTCCTAACTCCTAACCAAGGATTTGATAGTTTTAGAGTGCTGATAGGTCAAAACATTCAAAGAATTTTTAGAATTTTGATAAGCTAAAATTGTAATGACATAACCTTTATTTCAGCCTTTTTTGCAATGGCCAAAACTTTACTTAAATGATTTTGGTGTCATTACATTATCAAGTTACCTATCCAATGGAACCAAGATCTTTTGCATCTGATGTGTTTGAGTGAGTTATTGCCATTTTAGTAATACAGTGAATGTCTATGACAAATATTTGAAAAATTTTATTTTTGGGTTTATCTTGGAGTTGTACTTGGATTTTTGGTTTTAGTAGTAATGCCAGTATTTAAAGTTGGTTTTTAGAAGTTACAATCCATATTTAAGTACTTTTATGGGTTATAAATGTTTTTTTCTTAGTTCTAAAGCAATTAGGAGTTTCTGGTCAATTTCCTACTCCAAATTGGAGTAGGTAAAGTGAGATCTAACCATCTATGTTGAGTCTCTGAATAAAGTCTCTTGTGATTGAAAACTAAATTAGTTGGCTCATCATCATCATCATCCAAGTCCTATCCCAATTATATGGTACATTAATCCAGTTTTTCCAATCCATTCTATTTAAAACCATATCCACTGTTAAATTATTAGTGCTAAATCATTTCTTACTACCACCCATGTCCTCTTTGGTCTACTCCTAGCTCTTCGAGCCTTCCACTTGTAACACATTACTTATTCTAACTGGAGCTGTTGGTGGTCTTCTATGCATGTGACTAAACCATCTTAGCTTACTCTTAGGTTTCTATGAATGGCTTCATTCCTGATCCTATCATTTCTAGTTTTCCACTCATCCAAAACTAAATTAGTTGACTAGATGAATAAAAAATTGGCTATGTGAATTCAAGCTTTTGCCAATACAATACTCCATCTCTTCTGCCACCTTTCCAGTTATTTCATCCTGTAAGTTGATTTCTATCTGTTAAATGTTCTAGCAAAGATTCTTCTCTTTCTTCCTAATTCTAAAAGACCTCAATGTTAGAATCTAGATTTATATTCATTTTTAGTGACCAGAAAGCAGTCTAGTTACCTCTCCATCTCGTTTACTTATAATAAATCACCAAAATTACCTTCTCTCATTCTATAGAAGCCACTGCCAGATGTGAAAGTTGTAGGAACCCCTACATGTCTGACACTAAATATAACATATATTGTGTATCTCTGCATGGTGTGTTTGTGTGATTCTAAATAAGGATTTTCTATTTGAATCCTCTTGACTGAAGAAAAAGTTGCCCAAGAGATCAAATGATTACTGCAAAATTAAACATAACAGGTCAATTCTCACAAGTACAGAATTGTTGAAACATTATTACTTCAGGGATTTAGGCCTCTCAGACATCAATTCAAAGGAATATTCAAACAATGTCATCCTTATATTATATGATTTTACCTTTTACCAAGCTACAACAGTATTTCTGCAAAACTGGTCTTTAACTTCCTCTTAATTGGCTGTAAATTACAGAAAAAGCTCGAGCTCTGCAGTGATGGCAGCAAATAACCAACATGAATGCTAAACATACAACAGTGCAACCAATCACAGGTAACTTTTCTTGGGAATAATCCCTTTTGAAATGGTTGTTAAATATAATCCAGGTTGCATAAGGTCCCTGCATCAGGGCAATATGAGATTTCCTGCTCCAATCCCCATTGAATCTTGTAATGGGTAGAGCCTTGTCCAGGGAAGTCACCTGGGTTAATCATGCCACAAAAGATCAGCCAGCGCATTGAGTGTCCATCCACAATCTTCAAGGCCTTTGAACCAGTAGGGATCCACTCAACTATAATTGGGCCAAAGTTCGTCTTGGATGCTTTATTCCTCAAATGTATGCATACATATTTTTTCAAGCAGCAAAGGCCAATCTTCTCCAAGCTGTTGTGGGCTTAGCTCCATTGCAACCTTGAAATCAAGCATAGATATTGGAAAACACATTCTCTGTCGTTGCATACCTTCCATGGGCCCATTGCTATATTGCATCTGCAGCTGATGACCTGGCAACATACCATTAATGAGCTTACCATGATGCTGATGCTTCTGGAGAGGGTGCACTGCTTGCTCATATCCAGATCTTGCTGCTACAAGCTCGACGGAAGACTTTATTAATCGCCTTAAGTAGACATCCAACCCATTATTTAACAAATTAGCACAGTCTGTTGAAACCCCTTCAAGGCCCTGTGCTCCTGCAATCTGTTCCATGCACTTCTTTAGTGTTTCTGTATCACACAACCCACCACTGTTCAAAGATGTAGGAAAGCTACCGCTAGACAATGGAATAGCCCTGCGGGCCCCACCTACACTAGCTGAGCAAAATGGAATCCCAATGGGTGCCTGGATGGCACTTCTAGTAGAGTTGGTGTTATTGACCTGCTCTACCTCTTCCCCATCTTCAACTACTACTATAAGTTGACCTTTGCTATGTACAGAAATCAGATCATCTGCCGATCTGTTTATTTGTGGTCTCTTTGGAGGGCACTGAAGTGAAACACCTAATTCATTCCCAGGTTGCTCTGCAAGACCCTGATGATTTTGCACTGGCCTCTGGAAATCACATGGATTGAAATCCCCATTTTCTGTAATAACTTTAGTGCTCACATCATCTGCAGTGGTTGATTGTTGAGAAACAAAGTCTATCTTCCCGTTTGGCCCAAGAGGGCTGCGGAGATCTTTGAGCTTTCTGTCACGAATCCCAGACCTTCCCTTTGGAGGTGACATCGGCACAACACCCCCATTTGCCCAAATTTTTGGAGTTGAAGGCTGTGTTGAAGTTGGGGAAGGACCACCTTGCTCATGCACATCTTCTCTTGATGGAGATTTCTTTCTGGTCAGTCTTGTGGACTTTTGGGTTTCCTTCTCGTGGACTGGTGGTGGGACCTTCGCATTACAAGCATTCTTCAGAATTGAATGGATCAACTGGTTGTGCAAAGGCAGGTTTTCTCTTCCAAGAATTCTATGACATAATTTATCAAACTCAACCTTGCTTAACTTTTGGCTTAATAGTCCATTCAAATTATAAAAATACCGCTTCGATCTCTCAGGCCCAATCTTCTTCACTATCTGAGCCTTCAAGTCAGCAAGATTGATCCGCGAGTGATGTTGGGAAGGTTGCATTTCTCAATACATACAGCCCATAAACCACGCCTAAATCATCAATCTTCCTTTTCCAAATACAGAACACAAAAAACCCGGCTTTTTTTCAACCGAATTAGGGTTTGTTGCGTTTCCAATAACGGATCCTGCATACACCTCTACCTCCCCCTGAATTCTCCATGCACATAATAGAAAATGCGGGAGCCAATCTCATCTTCAAAAAAGTGAACCCTAGGGAATGAAAAAGGCAGCTCGCAAGCAGCGATCTCACTGACCACAGAACTTAGTTAATCCCTCCAAAACCCTACAATCAAAACTTCAAATTCTGATCTGTTCAAATCAAAACCCTAACTTCTAATCACCAAATCCTCGTTTTTGAGGACCTCATTTTCTTGCCACCCGCAAGCTGCAAAGACCCATAAATACACCCCTCTATAAGTTCGCATAACATCCATTTCTTTAGAACTCGAGAAGCGAACAGTAATCCAAATTCCTTCAGTGAACTGAGATCGTCAAACCAAGTTAACCAACTCGGATCGCGAAAGAATTTAAGTTGCAGATGAGTTCGAGGGTTGGAGCTAAAGTTCAAATTTTGCTTTAAAGAGAACATAAACCATACAGAGAATCCAACACAACAGCAGAGGTTAAAACTTCCAAAGATAAAAAACTCAAGGTTTGCAAGAATTCCATCTGACCTTTCCGAGCTCTCTGATACCGAGAACGATTTAAGATTCAGAGACGCAGAGACTTCTAATCCTCGTAGGTTCCTTCAATTCGATTGCGCTGCCGAGTTTCGTTTCTCTCTGTCTCGCTCTCAGCATTTCGTTTTCTTTTTCTTTTTATTTTCTATATATTTTTCTTCTTTTTCTCCCTCTCCAAATATTTCTCGCGCTCTTCTCTGAGAATTAGATTGCACCCCTCGATTGCAGCTACCTCTCTTTCTCTCTCTCTCTCTCTCTCTGGGGGTCTTTTTTGCCCTTTTTCAGTTTTCCAATATTTTGATTTATTTTGATGCCTATGATGGCAAATTGCAATACAAATATGCTCTTCTTCTTAGCCATTATACAATTTACTGTTCTGTTTGTAATACAAAAATGTTCTTTATTTTGCACCCCTTGATTGCCGCTACCTTCTTTCAGACCACTTTTTTGGTAAATTGCTAAACCTCTCCTGAAATCTGGTAATTGCAATTATAGATTCTCTATGTTAGAAACCTCTGTAAACAGACGAAAATGTCTAAAATACCCATATAATTACTTTTGACTAAAATATTTAATTTTCAATTCTTTTTTTCTTCCTATGAATCATTACCCCAATCCTTGCTTATCTTTTTTTTCTAAATTTGATTTATTTTCAAATTTCCCTTCATATTAATCACTCAAAAGCCTAGCTGCAACTTTAAATTCTCTTTCTTTTTGTTCATAAAGTTTGTATTGTTTTTTTCTATAAAAACCAGTTTTAATAGCAATGGAATGGGTATTTTGGACATTTTTGTGCCTCTTGTTAGAGGATTCCAACCGAATTGGTCTACTTAATTGCAACTATGACAGAAAGTTTAAGGGAGGTAATTGCAATTCCAAACTTTAAGGGAGGTTTCAGCAATGGTCAAAAACTTCAAGAAGATTTTAGCAATTTACCCTTTTTTCTGCAATGATGTCACTACCAATTAACTCCAAGTGATTTTTCCATTTCATGTGGTTAGTGGTAATCAAAAAAAATACTTTGCTTATCCAAATTTGGATTTACTCCTCACAAAATGCACCTTACACCAATCTCACAGCACGTTACAGTTGTGCATTGGGAACATCTTCCTGTGAATGACAACCTATAAATATGAAGATGTTCCAAATGTGTGACTCCAAATGCTTGTGAGGTTGGTGTTAGGAGCAAATCCAAACTCTGCTTACCACCTCTCTCTCTCTCTCTCTGAGTCTCTTTTTTTTTTTCTTGTTTTAGTTTTCTAATATTTTATTTTATTGTGATGCATATTGTGGCAAATTACAATACAAATATACTCTTCTCTCAATCATTATACAATTCAGCTTGTGAGGTTGGTGTGAGGAGCAAATCCAAACTCTGCTTACCACCTCTCTCTCTCTCTAAGTCTTTTTTTTTCTTGTTTTAGTTTTCTAATATTTTAATTTATTGTGATGCCTATTGTGGCAAATTACAATACAAATAGACTCTTCTTTCAATCATTATACAATTCACTATGCTAGTTGTTATACAAAAATGATCTTATTTCCACCTACCAATTAACCAAGCAAATTTTGCATTTTATGTGGTTAGTGGCAATCGATGAAAATGCTTTGAGTCTAGATCATCTACCAACAAAATACGTTCCAACACCCTACCAAAAATATCTGACACTACACATCTCATACATGATAGGTCCCACTTTTATGGTGGGACCTAATTTTATAGTGAGATGTATGGTGTTAGATCAAGTTGGTAAGGTGTTGGAAATTGTTGTTGTTGACAAGTGACCCCAACTCAAATGCTTTAGCTTATTTTTAAGCTCTCTCTCTCTCTCTCTCTCTTTCTCTCCAAGGGGGTGTTCTACAACATGGTTGGTTTGTTGTAAATTTGGTGTAATTACTATTTTATCTTAAGCCTATTAATTGCAATTTATAAACTACTAGCTATGCCTCTACAACTTTTATTAAAAAAAAGTTGAGCCTTGTGATAACCCAATTGGACTTAGTCACATCAAGTTCAATCCAAATCATTATTTTGGGTTATGTATTATTAGATGAATTTGTGTTAGTTTTCATTCATTGTTTTAAATTTTTATTCTATTTACATAATTAATTCCAAAAATAATTCTTATTTATCACACATATTTTTGTTTGATATGATAAGTTTATAATATCTTAGATATCTCAAAATTTTTAATTTTTTGTGTTTCTATTTTTTTATTTTTTATTATTTTAGTATGGCATCATTGGTTAAGACACTACCCAAATGATTGGACCATTATGGTGCAAGTCAAGTAGGTTGGACTGAATTTAAGCTTAACCCTGACCCAACCTTATGCATTGGACCTAAGGCTTCAGATCTAAGTCAAACCTAATTTGTTCAACTTGAGGGCAACTTCCAACCTGCAATGAAATTTGATGCACTTTGGTTAGTCTTGGACTTGGGTCTATCAATTAGTCCCATGATAAAATTTGACATAAAATGTATATGTATAATTGTATATATGCATGTATGCACATATGTCTATACATGTATTTATGATTGTATGTATATAATTAGGCTTGACTTTAGCTAGTTAAAAGATAGGCTTGGGCCCAACCTGAAAATAGAAAAAAATGCCCAAACTTTTGATCCTAAGCTTAGGCCCCCAAGTCGAGAACCAAAAATCGAAGCTAGCTTGTTTAAAATTACGAGCTAGGTCAATTTGAGCTCGAGTTAATCCCACCTAATAATTTTCCTCCCTATGGACCATTGACCATTAATTAGATAAAGAAAAACAATCTTCCTTTTAAGTTAGTTTTGTTTTAAATTCTATTTCTATCACTAATAAAAATAATTTATCTATCTCACCTATGTTTTGTTTAAAAGGATGAATAGACACACCAAAATGTTTTTTTTTACAAATTTTCTATGTTTTTAATAATTTTTGTGTCTTAATCTTTTTAAAATTTTATTATTTATTTATGATATCGTGGGTTGATCCATTTGACCTAAAAGGTTGAATCATTTTCCCACCACTTGAATAGGAAAATGGTTTTGTTTTTGGGTTAGTTTTAAATCTTGTATTTTATTTCCATCGAATAAAAATACTTTTATTTATCATGCTTAATGTTGTTTAATATGATAAATAGATAATACTATAGATGTGCCTAATTTTTTCACAATTTTTATAATTTTTGTAATATTAGTATTTAAGTTTATTTTTAATTTTTTGTTATTTAACTATTATTGGTTGCCCTGTTAGACACCGATGATTGAACTATTTACTTGCCACTCAGATAAAAGGGTGGTTTATTTAATTATTTTTCATGTTGGTTTTGAACATAGGTTTTAACATTATTAAAAATATTAGATATAAATTTACTTTGTAGAATTTATTGGTGAGAAACAAAAATACTTCAAATAAAGTGTCTAAGGAGAGAGAATGAAGGTTTATACCTTAATGAGAGGAAATTTATTGAAGTGGAAGATGTACTTTAAATTACAGTTTTGCCTGTATAGTTAAAGAGAGATTAAATTATTAAATAGGGGTATTTTAGTCAAGAAAAGTCCAAAAATCTTATTTATTTAATGTGCTTAAATATAAGATTTAATGAAAGGAAATGGGACTTAATATCTTAAATGTAGGACTTAATGATGAGGAATATAATGAATTTAATAAATGTAATAATTCAAATTATGTTTTTTTGCCCTCATAAATATAGGGAGACCAAGTTCAAAGAGTAAGGCTACTTTAGTAAAAAAATTCCAGAATCTAGACTTCATTCACACTTTTAATAGTAGTTGATGTTGTTTGATTTGAGGTGTGCCGAACCGAGGACGCAATCAAATAGTCTTGCCAATTGGACGAGGCCGATGTGGAAGGACAAAGGCATGCACTGAGATGAATCTACAAGCACAATGAGGGTCAAAGGCCCGAGGAGTTGTTCCCTAGGTAGGCACTCCAATGCTTAAGTTAGTAGAAAGATAATAGATTGGTCGTTATGAGCTGAAGAGAGTAGGCAAGTCCAAACTGGGGTGAATGCAATGGATGCTAAAGTGAGTCAAGAGTCATAAGTTCTTTACCTTAAGGGGGATGTGCCTATATATAGTCGAACATCCATTTTGTAGTCAGGTTAGGCCTACGGAGTTATCAGGATGAGGGTACTTGTTGAGGTGCTCAAAGGGCTCCCCTTTCCTTGGTGGAGTATGTTTTCCTTGTCTATGTGAAACTCTTTTCCTTGGTCCATCCATCTACGACGCGGTTGCATTGGTTGGTGCTGGCGTGGTGACATGATTCAAGGTGTTTGGCCATGAAGACTGACACGTGGCATCCTAGACTAGCTTAAACACCACCTGAACACCACTACCCCAGTTCCAAAGTTGAGGAGGGTAGTGTTTGGTCACGATGGAGTAGAAGAGCTCCTAAGTCCTCGACTAAAGAACTTTAACTTCTTCATTTGGTCGTATTTTGTTCAGACCGAACTAGTTGGTCACCCGACTAGTCTAAATTCTCCATCGTCGACCAAACAGGGTTTATTATGCTCTAGTCGCATTAGAAAGGGAATGAGCTAATTAGGGATTGTAAGAAGAAGTAGTTTCGGAAAGTGACTCAGTATTGCTCTATGGCTGGAAAAGCCGCTAATGCCTCTATATCTGACTAGGTTGAAGGAATGCAAAATGTAGTACGATGCAAACAAGGTGGACCTCTATCGTGAAAGGCATAAAAATTAGAGAAATATTTCCAAAACACACCAAAAAATTGAGGAAAAACCTAGTTTAGATTAAAACATTTGCATTAAGCATTTTATTGGGTTACCACAAGTTTAGAACAAAGCTCAGATTAAACCTCTTGATCACCCATCTATCAAATTTCAAACCCCAAAATCCCTATTTTACACTTTCTACAAACATATTTCAATCTGGCACTCTCGTTAGCCATGAATATTATTAATATTAAAAGTTCTCTTTATAATACAACCCCCAAACCTCTCCATTACCTTTTTAATCACCCATTCATCAAATTTCAGACCTAAAATCCTCATTTCCTACATGAAATATTTTATTTTGACTGTTTTCATTAACTATAACTCCCAAAGTTAAGAATATTCTTTGTGACACATCTCCAAAAGTCATAAAACTTTATCATTGCCTTTTAAACATTTGATCATCCATCTATCAATTTTTAGACCCAAAATCTCTATTTTACCCCTCATACAAAAGAGATTTTGATTCAACCTTTCCCATTTAGTCATAACTCTTAATGTCAAATATTCTCTTTAGGGCTTAACCTTCAAGA